GGGGGGGGTAGCAGCTGGGTATTTGCACGAGCTGCATTTGGGGAAAGATTGAATCTTGAAAGACTGAGCCCCCGATCCGCCCCTTCTTTCAAAAATCAAAAAACAGCGCTAACGAGCATCGCCTTTCTTCCAGCTTTTTCCAGATAAAGGTCTAATAGAGTTGCGCTTTCTCGCGGGGAAGGAAAAACGAACAGTTTACGTTTTAGTAGCTACCGTTTCACTGGCTCTAGTATTCACAGGCTTTCAAGGGTCAATCATTCTGTCAGCATGCTCAAAGAGTGCTTTCCAGAAGATGGAGAAGGAGCCCCCAGCTACCGCTATCCTTGGGAAACCAAAAGAGCTACCGAAGGAAAGCAAGTATGCCCGCTTACCCTCACTGACAAAGGTAAAAAAGGATGAGGAGCAATGACACATGAGCAGCCTCGCTCCTTGATCGGCGGGGTGGAGGTCTTTTCCTTTGTACTATTTTTAGTTGATAAAGAATAAGCTCTGGAAGCGGATAAGCCGATGGTAGGGAAGGCTAGCCCTATTTTCTGTGAGCTTGGTTTACTTGACCGAAGAGTGCCTTACTTTCTTTAAGACGCTAACTTCCACAACCTGGGAGAAAATTTTTTATATCAAAGTGGAATAAAAGAAATGGAGTTGGAGGGCCAAAATGGAACAATGCTTAATTAAAGTGACAAAATAAAAAATTGGGTCAAATTTAATGGTCTTTATATGTATTTGGCCAAAGGAAAACAGAGATTACAAAGCTTTACCAATCTCATCACAACAATAGTACTCCATTAATTAATGAAAGACATTGTATGGCACAAAAAATAAAACGGTAATATCATTAAAAACAAACTTAAATGACCCTGCTCTTTTGCGGGTTAATTTCAATGATGGTCACTTAACTATGTTTCAATTTCACTAAAGTCATTCAACTATTTTTTGTCACTTAAAAGTAACTATATTTTCACATTGTCACTTAAAAGTCATTTTGGCTCAAACCCCTACCATAAATATGACATGACATGACATAAAATTTAATGAGAAAAATCCAAAAATAAATGTCACATAAGCTTAAATAGATCATACCCACTTTAGATCCATTTATTCCTTAATTTGATTTGACCCATAACCCAAATGCTTTCAATAAAAAAATATTAAATTTCACATTAGTTTAAAATAATTATCATATACTACAAAATTCTTACCTTTTCTGTTACATAATGCCCATTTATAATTATTCTATACTAAAAAATTCTTATCTTGTTTGTATGCTCCATTCGAGTCATTTTATAACTCTACTGAAGTTAAAATACTATTGTATCCAACTCACATAATATATTTATAATTTTTTAGTATTGTATTCATCTTACATAACATATTAAAGTATCATAAGCATACAAGAATAATAATAAGGCTAATAAAAGTCTATTTTCACAATGAACATGCAATTATAGACAACCTATTGCAATTGTTTAGACAAAAAAAAATATTGTATTTGTACAATAAAAACCCCACAAAAAATTACAAGACCTAATTTTATTAGGGATGTGTGTTTTTTCCCCATATTGAAACCCATTTGGGTTATGGGTCAAATCGCAAGGGAGAAATAGATCTAAAGTGGGTATGGTCCATTTAAGCTTATGTGACATTTATTTTTGGATTTCTTTTTTCATTACATTTTATGCCATGTCATATTTATGGTGGGGGTTTAAGCCAAAATGACTTTTAAGTGACAAAGTAAAAGTTTAGTTACTTTTAAGTGACAAAAAAATAGTTGAGTGACTTTAGTGAAATTGAAATATAGTTGAGTGACCATCAGTGAAATTAACCCGCTCTTTTACATGTCAAGTAGAGCATTTATTTCTCAAAATCCATCTCTTTCAATTTCATTTTTCAGGTCATTTGAGCAAGCTGTCGTGAGTGGTCATGTCCAGAGGCGGATCCAGGATTTGGAGGTTTCGGGTTCCAAGCTAATTGATTTGATCAACTCGAGCGTCGGTTCGGGTTATTCATCATTTTTTATTTATATAGACAAATCGATCAAATGGAAAAAGTATAATAACGATAACTAATTGACGCAACCATAAAACTTCATACAATAATATGAATATTATAAATATACATCATCTATTAACAATTGTCCTCGACGAGTTTTTATATTTTGAAAACGATCCATAATGACATCATTACTTACATTTATGAATACATCACGCTCTATGCAACAAACTAAACAATCATTTAAATATTGGTCACCCATGCTATTCCGTTCTTCATTCTTTATCTGCTTCATGGATGAGAATGCTCTCTCCACAGTTGCGGTAGCAACAGGTAAAATCAGAGTCAACTTCACAAGTAAATAAACATAAGAATAAGTCTCTACAAGATTTGCTTCAACCAATGCTTTTGTCAAATGACTAATTCCTTGTAAGTTGGAGAACTTGGGATTACCAGCTCGCATATGAACTATATAAGTATCACGTTGATAACTCAAGTCTCGAATTTGTACTTCATCTAACTCATTTGGGTAACAGTTTACTAAAGTCATTATTCTACCTTTATCAAAATTAACAAAAGAATTGACCAAATTCAAGCTAGTCATCCCGAGAAGCAAATCGCTACTCACTACATCAAAACGGTCATTAAGCTCTTGAAGTTGCACAACAATTACAACATAAAAGATATCAACACGCAAGTAGTGTGAATAATAAACACCGGAAGACTTGCGCTTCCACTTTCCAGGAAAATAAGATACATCCATCTTGGGAATCAAAATGTCATGCATAACACAAAATGAGGAAACATCATCTAGTAAAGATTTCCATCCACTTTCTCTCATATCTTGCAATCTTTTCTTTGTGATGTTAAGAAACTCCACGGTATTAACAATATCTTCATCCCTCTTTTATAAGATCTTGTTCAACTCATTTGACATTGCCAAAAATTTAAACATCAAGTGAAGCATAAAAACTAATTTGAATGTTTTTATTTTACTCAAAAGATATTTTGCTTGATTTCTCTCATTTGAGGTAAAACCTTCATATTTAATCACTTCAAGCACACGAACAATAGATGAGAAAATAACAATAAAGTTATCTAATGTTTTGAAATGTGATCCCCAACGAGTGTCACCTGGTCTTTGAAGCCCTCGTTCTTGATTTAGTCCTCGCCCAATGTGAACTTCACTGGACTCAAGTAATTGCTCCAACTTTTCAGCTTGAAGATGTCGAAGCAAATCTCTGCGCTTAAAAGATCCTCCAATGACATTCAACACGTTAGTAACATGACAAAAGAAGTCTTCAACATGCAAATGCTTTTTAGCAATCGCTACAAGTGTTAATTGTAATTGATGCGCAAAACAATGAAGGTAATATGCCGATGAACAATCTTTCATAATCAAAGTCTTGGGACCACTTATCTCCCCCCACATGTTACTAGCTCCATCATAACTCTGTCCACGTATTTGTGATGGACTTAGTGAGTGCTCCGAAAGCAAAGAGCAGATTGCTTCCTTCAATGAGCATGTCGATGTATCACTAACATGGACAAGACCAACAAATAGCTCTACCACTTCACCATTCTTATCACAATAACGCAAAACAAGAGCCGTGTATTCTTTGTGTGAGATATATTTGGACTCATCAACTAATATACCAAAGCAATATCCATTCAAGTCTCCAATTATAGCCTTTATTGTTTCTTTTGCACAAACATTAATAATATCCTTTTGGATCATAGGGCAAGTCAAAGTATATCATTTTGTGGAGCATTTTCTAATATGACTTTTCCCACATCCGGATGCATGTCCCCATGCTATCGTAAGAATCCTAGAAAGAGGTATTGATTAGTTGAAGTTTCACTTTAATCATGATCCCTAAAAGGCAATCCATACAACAATAGAAGTCTTGCCATATCAATTGATGCTTCTAAACGCATCCGATACTCACTTTTCAACTTATCGGAGTGCTTATCAAAAACAAACTTAATTGATTGATGTTGATTTGATAAGTCTAGCATCTTGTTGAAACATTTATCATGGACATTATTAACATCACCAACATGTAAACGAAATCTTTTAAGACCCTTGTTCCAAGCCCTAAAACTATCCTTTGTATAAAATTCGCCCATACTTCCACGAATAAATTCATTCTTGAACAAATAACAACATAAGCAATATTCTGCATCTTTCTTCACACTATACTCTAACCATTTAGAAAATTGGCCCTTGAACCAACTTGGAACAAATTGACGCATTCTTCCTCCTATTTGAGTTTTGGGAAATTGATGTTTGAAAGGTTTACAAGGACTTTGTTAAATGTAATGTTTCCTTACTTTATCTTGTATTCGAGGGTGATAGTCTGCGATATGTATTCTTTCTCCTGGATCGCCTTTAAGTGACCCCGAATCAAGTTCATTTATAAGATGGGAAACATTGACATTCGCTTGGCTCAAGGATTGACAACTAAGACTTGGTTGAGAATGGTCCAACCTCGTGACAAATTTATCGATCTGAATTCAATTTCTATAAAATAAAAGCTCATTCTAGTGAGAAAGCTTTCTATGTAGCTCACTATGGAATATAGAATAATTTCTACTACTTCATACCATCAATAAGCTTAGCCAATGAAAATTATTCAACTTTCCCTAATATTTTTTATTGTTAAAATTGAGTTAATTTTGAATTTTTCTTGGTCAAAAATATTGGGGATGTTCTTTCTTTTTTAGCCACGAAATTAATTTCTACAATGAAACTATTTAAGTGGCATAGGATTTTCAATAAAACCAAAGAAATACATAACAAATAAATCACAAGTGACAATAAAGTTTTGCAAGAACATTAAAACCCAACTAAAAACAAAAAAAAAAGCAAAAAAACATATATTTAATGGAGAAAAATAGTCACAGCCCACATAGGGCTAAGAAATAAATAAGAGGAAGTAAGGAAGCTTTACAATAGTGGTTGTAGAGGAGTGACCAGTGAACAAGCGTACTTAGAAACAATAAAAGAGAAAAACTGAAGAGGTGAGTTGTGAGCGTGAGAACTGGAACTGGACGAGCAAAGTGGGGGTTGGGGACTTAGGAATTGGGATTCCTTTTTTGCGGGAGACGAGGTTGGGGAGTTGGGAATTGGGATTATGGAGACTAATTTTGGGAAAGGGGAAAGCGGGGAAGGCTTTTAGCTTTCTAGAAATCTTATTTTAATTATAAAGCTTTTTATTATTACTTTATCTTATTAGTTAAAAGTAAAAATTTTAAAATAAAAAATGTGTTGTGTGCTGGATTCGAACTCACAACCAGCAAAAGGAAAAAATGGACCTTTCCNATATATATATATATATATGGAGAGAGAGAGTTTTCGCCGAAGCTTGCAGGTGCGTACCACCCCGAACCATGCCCTTGTCATGTCTGTGTAACATTTTTCACACTTCTTTATATTGCCGTACTGGTCAAGTGGAACACATATTCATCTTCACAGCAAGTCGTGCATGCTCTTAGATACACATTCTGCATTGAATGCGACTTTCACCTCACCATGCAAAGTGGAATACACTCTGCACATATTGTTCAATGTATCCAACACTTTATTATAAAATATCATTCCAAGAATACAAAACGTTTATTCAATATATACCTTTTCTTCCAATTTTGTACGACACTACTATCTGACGCCTATTATCTCACCCATTGGTTAAGGTGGGCGTTGAAGTCGTATGTCACGATTCAATTTCTCCTATAGACTGTAATGACGCCTAATATCGCTGCTTGGCAAGCCAACAGTGAATTAACCATGTAACTATTCTTTTTAATAAATTTTAAACTAATTGAATTTCATTTATTTAGAAAATAAGGAGTAGAAAATTTAATAAAGTAAAACGAAAGCTAATGAGTGAGCAAATGTAGTGAAATAAATGCTTCAAAACCATAAAGCCTATTAGTATGTGTTACAAGACCTGATATCACGAGTATATGAGCAACTAGTAGAATATATAAAGCACTAAGCTACTATCTGAAATAGAGTAGACAAAAAATAAAATGCAAAAGAGAGACTTCGGGTGCTGCAGAACAAACTCAAAAAGCAGCTCACCGCTATGCCTCGGGGTATCGCGCCGGAATGACTGCCATATGCACCTGCCTTAGATCCTGCATGATTAGTGTAAAAGTATAGCGTGAGTATATAAACAACATGTACCTAGTAAGTATCTAGTCTAACCTCGAAGAAGTAGTAGTAACGAGGGGTCGACATCGATACTAACTATGGGCTAACAATAAAATACAGGAATGCTAATTAGGCATAGAATATGTGAACAATAATATTAATACAGTAGCAACAATGATTAAGTGATTCTTTAACTAATAGTAAATTCCAAAAGTCTTCCACTAACACATACTAATTCCAAATAAATCTCGAGCAAATAAATAAATTATAACCTCTCAATTCATAAAAATACTATCAAGTGTATTCGGGCTCCAAGCATTAAGACACACGATTTATGCCGAGGTCGTACGGCCCGATCCAGGATAATGTATTGTCACAACCTAATTTAGGATCGTGACCGGCGCTTAGGAGCAAGTGCTCCCAAGTAAGCCTTATTGGTATTTTACAGAAAAACGGACAGAGTTTCCCTTGTTTTTGGATTATCCAAAAAAAATTCTGTCTCAAACTCAACCCAAACATCCTAATATAAATCCAAACAACAATAACTTTATCTTCTAACCAAACCAAATATCTACTATTGATAAGTCCACCTACTAACAACTAGAAATACTAATTGATCTCCAAATTTGATAAGAAAGAACGATATTCAACATAAGTCTATAATAATGAAAGAATACTCATAACACTAAAAGAATGACTAAGGAGCGACTCTAAGAGTTCAAAGAAAATATCATAACAATTAATTAAAACTCCTTGCCCACGCGAACAAATACGGAGCTCACGAAGAACTATCAACCTGTGTGCTCTAATTAACGAAATCTTTGCCTACGTCAACTGTTAACTCTATAAAAAAAATAGCGGAGGGTGTGTTATACCCCTTTTTAACACGGGTCAAATAGCGATATTATGAATCGCCACCTAATTATTCTAAGGTGAATTAGGACACCTATTTTTAAAGATTAAGTCAAATTCTGTCTTATGGTCTTAACCTAAAGATTCTAAGTAAGGGTTTTAAATATTCTAAAAGGAAGGTTTTTTAAAGCACCTTTTTAAAATTCGTTAATAACGGTTAACCGACCAAGCTCAGGTTAATAAGTTGTATAAAAAATGGAAAAAAAAATTATTTGAGGTATTTTAACAAAATATAGCTTACAATATAGTAGTTTAAATTTGAAAGTCCTTAATAAGCTTTTGAAGAATATTATTACGTAAATAAAACTTATAACTAGTTAATATCATATATAAATTTAAAAGGGTATAGTCATTTAGGAAAGACATTGGCTGATGATTAAAATATTAAAAACAAGGGGGGACCTTTTCCCTTTGCTTATCTTCAAAAAGAATCAAGGTGAAAAAACATCATAACCTTTAAAAAAAAGACGTTTACCAACAAAACAATCACGTTTATTTTTTTTGTATTTTTTTAGAAAAAATATAGGAAACAATTTGTCAATTTCAATCGAAGTGCATCTTCTGTTTTAAAAAAAATGATTCAATTCCGAACTTATATAATAGAAACCTGAAGCTTAAAGGGTTCTTCAAAAAAAAATTAAGAGCACTATTAAATGAAATAGATAATATCTGCCAATAACTAAGTGAGAATACTAAGTAAAGAGGTCAAAGTAAATCAACAATCCCAAGTTAAGTATAGAACTAAACTAATCAAAAGAATATAATCAAATTAATTGAAAATTCGAAATAGAGTAAAATGTAAATCACGAAGGCCGCCATACGCGACCCCAATATTGAGTAATCTTATACCAGCAACTTCTTTAATCTCTAAGTTTAGGCATATCTTCTTAATCTAAAATATTGAGTTAACAGAAAAAAACTTTCCTTGTTCATTTGAAATCTAAAGATGAACAGATTAATATAGCCAACATGATTATTAAAACTTAGAACAACATGGTCTTACTTCCATCTAAGTCTTAAAAATTGGATATTAAAGTCCTAGCAGTATGCTTTTTGAAAAGAAAAAAAAAGAATGACAAAGCAGAGCAGACTTTTCTAAGACAAATAATATCTTTTGTTAGTATATGCTTTCTTAGCATATGCTCTGCTAATGGCACACTCGATAGTAACAACAAGGAAAGGAAAATAATTTGAAAGGTTCATCTTAAGGCAGTGACTTCTATGCTTGTAGTATCAATATAAAAGGTCTTAAATCTTATTATTTTTTTAGACACAAGCTCTATGAAGCAAACCACTTTTAAAACTTATTGCTAAACACGAAAATATTTAAACTAAGCACCCAAATAGTTAATCTCTAACAATATATTTTCTGTTGCATTTACGCTAAAAAAATAATAATAAAACTTGGGATATATTTTGAGACATGAAAAGAGAGAGTAGATATCGTATTTTTAATGCGTGGATGAAGAGCAAAATTTGGTACATGCTAGACAAAATGTAACAACGTAATTTTGACAAAAGAAAAGAGAAAATTATAACATAGTTAAAATATAAGGTCATTTCATCAACTACTAATGTATTAACTGCCATAAGCCTATTCATGTTTTATCGGACTTTTATTTTGATTTAACCAGATATCTATAACTCTATGGCTTCTAAGCGAGTTGGCTCAAATTCATGATTTTAACAAGCGCCAATTAAAACTCATTCAAAAGAACATACAACCGTTTTAAAACTTCGAAGACAAAGCGAGAAGAAAAATTTCAGTCACTGACCTTTTGTGGCGCAGGAATTGGGGCGTGTCAACTAAATCTACTATTTTCGACCTCGAATTTGGCTACTTCAGATAATCATCGAACTCCGACACAAACAAAATGAAGGCTCTGTTATGGCTATAGGGCAACAGATACCAAGAGGTAGAGAGGATTAAAGCTAGATTTTTAATAGAGTAAAGATGAAGATAAACTATGAGAAGTCAACCGAACGGTGTAGGAGGGGGCGTCCAACCTGCTGAAAATAGCCACAAATTTTTGTATTTATAGGTGTAAAATTAAGGTTCTTGGTTCCTTTGAGCGGGAACTTGAAAGTTTAGATTTCAAAAGAAATCAAATGGATCCGTTTGAATTTTAACGTTGAAACTTTTTTTTTGATGGAATCGATCTTCGGGATTCTTCAGTGATATGCTTCAGGTTACACCCGAAAATGGTGGGATATGCTTCAGCACGCAGGGATTTGAAAGTCAAGAATTGGCCAAAAAATGGAGGAAAAGTCAAGATGGCAGAGATTGAAAGTGACATGGGAGAGGAAAAGGGATGGAACTTAATTAAAATAAATAAATAATAAAATAAATAAGTGCTAGCAATTATTTTGGTATTATTTGAAAGATAGGAGAAATTTGATCTTGACCATTAATTTAAAAAATGACTTGATATGATGAATTCATATGGCAAGATGTGGGGTCAAAGTGTGAAAGGATGAGGAGAGAGTGTGTTAGGCGTGTGTTTTTGGTTGTTGGGAGCCTAGGTGTTGCTGACATGGATCTTATATGGCGCCTACATGGAGGTAGAATAGAGTAGATGGGCTGGTAGATATGGGCCTCCGATTTGGGCTATTTTGGTCTGATTTTTTCCTCTTTTTGGGCAAGAAAATCTAAAATATGTATTATAAGAATTGACCCCATTTTAAATAATATTGAACTTTACCAAGATGATCCAATTTAGATTTAAAAGTCCCTTTTCACTTTAAATTTTACTATGCTTCCATATTTCTAATAATTTTAATAAAATATATTATATTACATTGTTATAAAAATAATATTTAGTATGTATGCATTTATATAGAATAGAAAATAGAGAACTAAATTATAATTGGCAATTACTATGATGCATTAGCATAATATGATGGTGATTAAGTAACTAAAATAATAACAATATAGTAACAATAAATTAATATGTTAAATTATATTAAGGCTAATAATTGTACTTTATTTTAAACATCTTGAGGCTAGAAAAAAAAAATATAACAAATATTTTAGATAAATATATTTAGTAAATTATTAAGAATTAGGAAGCATAGAGAAATAGATTAGGAAAAGGAGGGCTAAAATTGGTTGTCAACAGAGTGAGTAATAACATTTAACCACAATCGTTTTTTATTGGGACAAGTCAGAAAATATGTTAGTATATTAAACAGAAAATATCATAAGAATGCCCTTTCAGAATTAATAAATAATTTTCTGTCTCATCATGTTTTTCTTGTAGTATAATACAATTGACAATTCAGTAATAAGCTCGGCAACCACTGTATAATGTCAATATTCATATTTGGGAGGTTTTAATGAACGGATCATGTAATCGGTATAACTGTGGACTTCTTCGCAATAAGTCAAATATAACGGTAGTCCCTACTCAAGGAAAACCAGTAACGGTATGCTAGTTCTACTTTTCCACTAGCAAGGGTTGTAACAGTAATCGGTAATTTCAAAGTGCATCAGGTTTAACGAATCCGTCGTTAGCTACGAGATCCTTCAAAGTCTACTCCCATGTATACTTGCCTCTGTAATCCGTATATGTTCATAGAAAACTATTTTAAAACAATATAGGGCATTTCGGTTCTTATCAAATCATGTAATTTCATTTTAATAACAGTAATTTTACGTAACGGTAAAACAAATCTAGTGACAACAAGAATATTTAAAACAATCATAATCATCTTAAATAACTATTTCGGTATCATATCGAGTAAAAGACTTGTCCCACATGCAACTCAAGATAACCGGTAACGTATTCATATTAAAAATCATGCAAGTTATGAAAACACAAATTGCGGTAAGATTACTACTCACAGTCTTGTGCCGAAGTACCAAATTCTTCACCTCGAGCAATTCGTACAACTTCCTCCAATCAATCTATAATTACATAATATCTATCTCATGTTAATTTCCATGTTTAGGCTAAGTCATAGGTAATTTAAAATACCCAACCATCGAGGTTCATGTTTGAGTCTTAATTTATGGATTTATATTTAATCATAGAACTAGTCCATAATTCTATCAATTTCAAATTATTTAGTATAATTTATTCCTCTAAAATTAGACCTCTCAGTGCTTAAACCAAGCTTTTATAGCCTTATTATCCATAGTAATTGTATATGTTTTATATAAAAGAAAGTTGATATTGAATTCTTTTGTACTATATGAAATTGCATAGATGTAGTGAAATAATTCAACAGATGAGAAGAAGAAGATTAACCTCTTGAGTCAAAGGAGAACTTTAATACTTTCAATTTTAACTCCCAATTTTTCTTAAAGTCTTTGATCAAAGCTTTCTTCTTCTTCTTCTTCTTCTTCTTCTTCTTTTTTTTCTTCTTCTCTTTCTTTCTTTCTCTGCTTTTGTTTTTTTCTATTTCTCGTTTCTTTCAGAAGCCAAAAGCTTCTTTGCTTTCTAAACCCTTTTCAAACCTTCGTAGGTTAATTTCTAATGGGCTTCAGCCCTTTTGTTTCCATCCTTTTTTTTCTTTTATTTTTATATTCATTTGTTTTATTTTTAATTATTTGCTAAATATCCAATATGTCCTTATTTAAAACATTGGGGCTCTACATCCTCCCCCACCTTATGAAATTCGCCCCCCCCCCGAATTTAACCCTAGTACGTATTTGTAGACTGAAATAAGTGAGGATACTTGACTCACATAACATCTTCTACTTCCCACGTAGCTTCTTCAACTGTATGATTTCTTTATAAGACTTTCACGAACAATATTTCTTTTGACCGTAGTTTTCTTATTTGTCTATCAACAATAGCCATCGACTCTTCCTCGTAAGACAACTTCTCATCGATCGGTATAGTCGGTGTTTCAAGAACCTGAGATGAGTCCGATATACATTTTCTTAGCATTGAGGCATGAAACACTGGATGAATAAAGGACAACTTAGGAGGAAGTGCGAAACGATAAGCCACAACGTCCACTCGGTCTACTATCTCATACGGTCCTATAAATTTGGGACTCAGCTTGCCTCTTTTCCCAAACCGCATCACAACTTTCATAGGAGAGACTCGTCGGAACACTTTGTCCCCAATTGTGCACTAAATCTCTTCTTCTTTTATTTGTATAAGACTTTTGTCTGCTTTGAGCCGTGAGCAATCTCTGCCTGATTAGTTGGACCTTATCAATAGCTTCTTGTACTAAGTCGGGTCCCGATAAGTTAGTCTCACCAGTTTCAAACTATCCGATAGGAGAACGATATTTTCTACCATACAATGCTTCGTACGGTGCCAACTACCTCCAAACTCAAGAATACAGGCTCTCAACATATCATCCAAGATTTGTATAGTACGTTTTGACTGCCTTTCCGTCTATATATAAAATGCAGTACTAAGATTTACTCATGTACCCAATGCTTCTTGAAAAGATTTCCAAAAGTGTGAAGTAAATTGTGATCCTCTATCAGAGATGATGGATACTGGAACTCCGTGAAGTTGAACAATTTCGTTCATAAATATCTGTGCATACCTCACTGCACCATATGTAGTCTTCACTGGCAAAAAGTGTGTTGATTTTGTTAGTCGATCTATAATTACCCACACCGAATCATAACTTCTAAGGGTTCGTGGTAGACCGGTGACAAAATCCATAATAATTCTTTCTCATTTTCACTCTGGAATCTCAATTTGTTGTAACAGTCCTGCGGGTCGTTGATGCTCAGCCTTGACATGCTGGCAAGTCAAACAGTTAGAAACAAAGTTAGCAACATCATTCTTCATACCTTCCCACCAATAGAATTGCCTCAGGTCATGGTACATTTTTGTGGATCCAGGATATATAGTGTATTTAGAGTTGTGGTCTTCTTCAAGAATAGCCTGTCTCAACCTATCCACGTATGCTACACATAGCCTGTCACCCATTCGAAGAACACCATCACTTTCAACAACCATATCCTTGTTTTTACCAGCTAAGGCCTCATCTCTGTATTTGTATAATCGTTCATCCTCATATTGGGTGGCTTTAATGCGCAACTAATGAAGACTTAGCCTGAGCACAAGCTAACAATGCCTCTAAATTTCTGATACTAAATCTGATACCCGTACCTTCTAGTCTCTGAATATCTTTGGCCAAAAGTCTCTTTGTAGGAGCTATATATGCCAAGCTCCCCATGGATTTTCTGCTCAATGCGTCAGCCACCACATTGGCTTTTCCTAGATGATAAAAAATAGAACAGTCATAGTCTTTGAGTAGTTCCATCCACCGACACTACCAAAGATTCAGATCTCTCTTTTAAAAGATATACTTCAGACTTTTATGGTTAGTATAAATCTCACAAGTTTCACCGTATAGGTAGTGCCTCCAAATTTTTAGAGCAAATACCACTGCAGCCATCTTCAAATCATGTGTAGGATAGTTTTGCTCGTGCTTTTTCAATTGTCTCGAAGCATAAGCTATAACGAGACCATTTTTCATGAGAACACATCCTAATCCCATCCTCAAGGTGTCACCGAATACTGTAAATCCTCCAGGACCTAATGGTAAGGCTAATATTAGTATAATTATCAAACTTGTTTTAAGTTTCTGAAAGCTCTACTCAAATTCCTCCGTCCACTGAAACTTTACATTTTTCTAAGTTAGCATAGTCAGTGGCGCTGCTATTCTGGAGAAATCCTACACAAAACGCCTGTAATAGCCTGCTAAGCCTAAAAAGCTACGAATCTCTTTAGGAGAAGTAGGTCTGGGCCATTTCTGCACAGCTTATGTCTTCTTAGTATCTACCATAATTTCATCTTTGGAGACAATGCGCCCCAGAAATGCTACTGAGTCTAGCAAAAATTCACACTTCGAGAAATTAGTGTAGACATGTGATTTTTGACTCTGCCCAAGATTTTTTATATTTTAGCATGTAAATATTTAGTTTAGACCTAATATAGCTATTTTAATTAGTTTGATCCTTTTACTTTATTTTCTCACAAAAAAATAAAAATTATAAAAAATAGTTTCATTAAGGTTTTGTAGTCATTTTTAATCTTGAAAAAATACCAAAAAAATAGGTTTGTTTTAAACAGTTAGTGTTATTTTAATAGTTATTTTTCTTAAGTAAGATTAAGTAGTATTTTTAATAGTCTATCTTGTTTGCTATATTATTTTTACATATAAAAAAAGGGGGTGAGAGAATAGAATTAATTTTCGGACTAATTTTTATCTTGCTCTTAGCCTAGTTAAACTAATTTCCTTAGCCCATTAACAAAAAAGCCCAAACCTCCCTTACCCTTAACCCTAAGAGACCCCACCACATTTTCTTCTGAAACGAGGACAAAACCTTGAACACGCCCTAACTGAAT